TCTCTCTCTCTCTCTCTCTCTCTCTCTCTCTCTCTCTCTCTCTCTCTAGGTCACTCTTTCTCTCATTTGTCATAACATTTCGTAATTGAACGGTGCTTTTGAAAGTAAATTATATGACTGTCACAATAGTGTTCATTTGATACACGCATTCGCAATTCGAATATTCATATATATCAAGTAGATTGGTTTTTGTTTCGGTAATGGATTTGGGATAAATTTTTTTTTGCTGTGTGTGGTATCTGTCGGTTTTCTCGTATATGTTTTAAATCTATTATTATTTTGAATAATATTTATTTTGTGTTGTTCGTTCGTTTTTTGTTTGGAATTATGTGTTTTTTTCTCCATCGAATTCGGCTATTTTGTTCAATATTTTAAAGATAGTGTAATTGCATTGGCTTGCAGATGTATGTATATAAATTGTTAGATAGGTTATTTGTTGCTGTTGTTTTTTCCCTTCTTTCGCTTAGTTTTGTTAATGATATATTTTGTGTTTGTGTTTCGTTCGCTTTTGCAAGTATTCTTTAGGTCGTTTCTTTGTAATGTTCATAATTCAATTGGTTTTTGTCTGCAGTTCGTTCTATTTTTCGGGATTTTATTTTATTCGAGATTGATCTATTTCGTGTGGAGGCCGCAGCGATCAGAATGCCGTATTAAATTCGTAGACGTCATTTCCGTGCGGTCGTTGATTGGCTGTATGCTATCAAACGCGCATTTCGTTCATGGCCGCTTGAGGTATTGGCTGTTTCTGGTGGTGATGCTGCTGATGCTGCGGCTGTTGCTTGTGATGTGCATTTGTTTGTGTTAGCACGAATTTCACATTTGGCGATTCATTGGACAATTTACTGGTGGCACTATTCAGTTGGCTGCACATCGCAGCCGCATTTTGTTCGTGTTGCGATGATGCTAAGCATGGTCCGGTACCGGCTATTGATACGGTTGTTGTGGTGGTTGTCGAGCGAATCGGTGGTCGGGGCGGTATTTTATTTGAATTACTAGATGATGATGCATTGCATCCACTATCAATTAGCGTTGCATTACCATTCGGCAAATGGTGTTGGCCATGATGATGTTGAAGTTGCAGCTTACTTTGTTTAGCCTCTAAAAACAAATTGAAAAATTGTCTAAATAATTTTGGTTAATCGAGACAACAAATACAAAAGAAATGCTACTATTTACATATATATTTACAACATTTACAGTGTTTGTTCTGCGCCACGGAAATAGTGCAGAATTGTGAACCAACGCAATCGATAAAACCAATAAGCGGGAACCATTCCATTGCAAACATTCTCATAAAATTTCCAACAACAACAAAAAAGTTAATCATGTTTTGTATTTTATGATGCGATAATAAATTTACAGTCTTTTCCCAGCGAATCAATTTGTGACGCACTGTGGGAATTTTATTGAATTGAAATAATGCCATGCAATTTTATGCGTTTAGAAAACGGTTTGGTCGATAGAATTAGGAAAAATCCCAATGGAAATCATAAAATCACGTTCATTTTGAACTGGAACATTGCAAAGTGTGGCCACACACTGCAAATGGCATCGATTCTTGTGTAATTTGGTTTGAAATGGTACCATTCGCACGTCATGGCTAAATAATAATACCGACACCAAAATACACGTTCAAATCGAAATTGGTCGATGCGATGCGATGACCAACATAAAATAAAATTAATAAATCGAACGATTCTAATTTATTTTATTGAGGTGCAACGAGCTTTTCAATCTCTCGCTAATCACATCAAATGCAGAAAGTATACGCTGTACGCTCTGTGGCCAAGTCAAAACAAATATTGATTTAACAATGCGTAGCACAGTAGCTCCAATTATGTCTAATGATGAATGGAAATTACAATGCAGCTTATAATGCATTCGCAATAACGCCGTAAAATCCATTTGAAATGATGGCCTAGCCATTCTCATACATAGAAAACAATCGAACGAAAAAAACCCGATTATAAAACACAAATGCACATTTTCTCTGGCTAATTCTATTATGTAAAATCCGAAATCAATTTGACCCAGATCGCAGTGAAAACGTAAAAGCGATTCCATCGGCGATTTGGTGTGCATGCATCATGTCTATTTGACAATTAAACCGTAGGCAAATCCATATAATTGACTTTTACACACCAACAACAAAACTCTTTTAACATTTCAATCGAGTGTCATGCAACTGTATTGACAAACAAAATGCCAATCGCCATTTTATGAAATGGATTTTCGGGTTTCTAGTCAACGAAATTTTAATATTCACCACTCCATGGCGGTAAAATAGAAATATTCGCAGTCAGTGGTCCATTGATTTAAATGTACACACGCGGGTTTGTTGAAAGGAGTTTCGTTTGCCCATCAAGCCGCCAGCAGCTTGAAATGAAATGCATTTTGGTTTTTCAACCAAATCTATCTGATTCTATCATCAGCAAAATCACTGCTGTAATCATATGCGTAGTTTGATTTTGGTTTTTGGCCTCGTTTGAAACTATCAAAACACAACCGTGTTCTAGGACAAATCAACCGTATCGCTTCAGAATTATACAATCGATCAATCATTACCGTTAAATGTGATATTTTTACAATATAATAAAGCGATTTAAATCCACACTTCACCTGGATTACGTGAAGCGAAAAAAAAATTAAAATATTAAACGATTGAAATAATTTCGTGATTGCAATGAGCAAATTTGAAAGATAATATTAAAAATATTTCGCACATGCCGTCAACTTTTCATTATAATTCCGGTTGTTTTATATTTATCCGCTTCAACAGCAAAAAAAGTCTCCACAATTTATAATAAACTAAAATACTGGAGGGCCGATATAAATAGCAAAAAAGATAGTGATTTAATCCACTGCCGTTGTTCGTTTGCAAATTTTCGATTTACCGTAAAATTATACAAAATCGACCAAAAAACTTCGAAACAATTGGCGTACCGTTTTGCAGCAGCAACAACAAATGATGCGATCGTGCGAGAAAAAAAGCGGTTCGTTTAAAATTGAACATTCGAACGGATGTTGCCTGTGCGTTTCTGTGTTACACAAGGGAAAAAAGTCAAAAACAGCGACACAACGTTGCATTGACAACAACAGTAAAAGGGTTGACCCAGGTCAATCTCGAATGCCTATTAATTTTAATTGATTGTGATTGGTACAAGATTTAAAATTGTACCGAATTTTCAGTGAACCATGGAATGGCGTGCAGATTTTTGGTGCACACTTTACATTTACCACGACACATGATATATCGAACGAATATGCTGGTGCAAATGGAAGTGATATTGCTTGTAATAGGCTCTCTAAAATGGTGCATGACATCGCAATCGTTCGAGGACATCATCCCTCCTCACCACAGTCAGATGAAAAGCGACGTGCACCGACACTGCGATCGGAATATATAAACTTTTCCAGTCATTTGCCTCTTAATTGGTGATGGTGCGTAATGGTTTTCTGCAATGAATGATAGTTTTTCGGAGCAGTTCGTGTCTGTAGCTTTTTTTTATATCGAAATTTTAAATTCAAAATGAATATTCATTCACTCGATGAATGGTCAGTTCAAAGTGACGGCGACATTGGTGCATGACAAAAACAAAACGATTGTTTGTGCCAGTGCCAAAAAAACAACTGAAAGCCGAAATTGGTTGTTCGTCATGAATAATTTCATTATTGCGAGTGGCGCGGTCTACTTTAATGCAACATTATAGTATGTAAAATAAATTCGATGTTGAACGAAAAAAAAGAGTTGGGTCCATTGACAAAATTCGTAACAAAAATATAAAAGCCAATTTTACATTTTATTTTGAATACTGTACGCGGATCGAATACATTTTGATGGAATACAAAGCAAAGCGAATTGATTGGCAGGCAAAAAAAGCTCTAATCCATTCGAATGCAATTGCGTGTGATTTTGTCTATTTTTTGCGGTGGGTAACACACCAAAATTTATGATTGAAATCAGTGCAATTGAATTGAAAATCTGTTTGGTGTGTGTGCGCGCGATATGGTTTTTTTTTCACCACCAAAAGTAATAATTGTATTGATATAGAAACCAATGCCCGCGGTTGTTAATCCCTTTTACGGTGCACACACAAATATGATTAGTTTGGACAAGCGTACGGGATATTTTATGCGCGCTTATTCCTTTCTCATTGAAAACCGTGCGAAAAATGAAAAATCGTATATGTGGCCAGTCATTGTTGAGCCTCAATCGGACAGGGTGTTCCATTCATGCGGCGGCTGCTGGCTGCATTCAAGTGTGTTTATTTTGATTTATAGCCGAATTCAATGTGATACATTCACTTGATAGCTGCCCTGCACCATCATGAATCTTAATGGCATTTATGTTAGGACGTGTCCCCTACACTACACAACACGTGCCTATGCCGATTGCGTGTACGTAAAATGAACGGAAAAATTGCAATCAACGGTTGAATGAGAAAATGCCATTTAGAAACTGATGAATTTCTATGTGAGATAGACAGCATACTTGCATCTAGTATGCAGCGTCAGCATCACACACACACATACGCGAACCGATGCGCGACATGGAATGTTCATAGCATTCAATGTACGCTAGATGAACGTGGTTTGCCAGCACGGAGCTTGCAACAATACCCTCGATTGTCAAATGATGGGTATGGTCACAAAAACAATTTATGTTATAGACATCCATGGCACATATAAAATGCGAGAGTGAGCAGCGACAGCGAAAACGACGACGACGACGACGACGACGATCAACAAAAAGTGATTGGGTCATTCAAGTTGTTGCGTTGGTTGCTGCTTTTTTTTATGTGTACGCGCTCCATCGCTTCGTTTCATTATGAACAATTTCGTTTCCGGAACGAAATACGTTACACGCGCATATACAACTTGTCATTGTTCATTCGATGTGCAATGCGTTGTTGCAACGGTTTTTTTTGCTCGCTCGCTGGTATTTGGCATCGCCTTTCGCCTCTCGTACAATCTCGTGTCATGTACTACATATTTATATATTTTTTTCGCCCTCGTTCACTTTGCTCGCTTCTGTCCGCCATCGTGAATTATGTGCATAATATGTACGTTGTAATGTGAGTGTATGGATTTAACACCATGGCATGTTTTTTTTTTCCTGCCCAGCGACCAATATGAATGTCAATTGCAGAAAGCGCAAGAGGTGAGACCGAAACCCGTAAATGTGATGGGTCTGATACAACAGTATGCATCGCATACACTGACACTCGCCTCTTGTTCCTTGTCGCTGGCTGCTCCTCTTTTTTTCGCAAATGTTGAACAATTTTTAATTAAAATACATTGCTAGTTTTAGTTTTTAAATAGAATTTGATTCTCGTATTATCCTCATGCTCATGTTGTTGTTGCTGTTGCGTTTTCCGTTTCAGTTTTTACGCTGCGCACTCCCTTCGCTCATCCGGCTTTTCACGTCCCTTTTTCTACATTAAAACAAAGCGGTGCAACGTGAACCAAAACGAGATGAGATTATCCCGACGAAATTGGCGTACGAGCGAGTGAAGGAATGCGTTTGAACAGTGCCGGCAAGTTATAACAAAGCAGAATAAAAAAAATGGGAAAACTTTTTTGTTGCATTTTAAAATGCATTTAGTCGAAATAAGGATGAAACGTAAGAATGGTGTAGCGAAGTAAAATGAGGCTCAGCTCGCTTCAGAAGCACAAAATTACCCGGCACGATACAATGGAATGCGTATGGGTACATGCAACTGTGCACAGTGAATGGCAATTATATCTCGCATTTAAATGTACATTTGCTTGCATCTTGCTGATGGGAAATTCTACATCTTCTTCTTCTTACTCTTTTTTCTCATGCATCTCATGTTGATGTTGCCGGGTTTTGTGTATCACATAATTTTTACATAATCTCGACGAAATAATTGCGTAAGAATTTAAAGTAAATTGTTTGTTAACGAATAAAAGGAATTTGAAATGGATTTAAAAGACCTGGCATCAACATGTGTATATGGTATTGCGTTGGTTCTCTGCCGAAAGAATGGAATTGAATGCGATTTGGTTGAATGTACGGCATTGTTGTGCATAGAAATAAAAATATGCCGAATATGTGGAAAATTTCAACGAAAATTCAATTATAATTACCTAAATTACTGTTGGCGTTTGTTTGTGAGCTCATGTTTCGTGGAAGCGTTGCACTAACATCTCGGCCATAGCTAATCGACGATAAGTGTTGTTGCTGCTGTTGCTGCTGCTGCTGCTGCTGCTGCTGCTGCTGCATGAGACTGCTGTTCAAGCCGCCTTTCGGTAAAGTCATCATACCCATGCTATTGTACGAAGTCGAAGTATTTCGATTGAATTGCTGTTGTGTCGATTGTTGTTTGATTGGAATCGTTTGAACCATGTGCTCGCTGACTCCTTGACCACGATGGTTGCTTTTTGTATTGTAGGATGTTGTTGTGGTTTCACTTAACGGTACTTTTGTTTGACAAACATTATCTCCGGTGGTATTGGCCGTTGTACCGCTGGTCGATATTTGCATGGCATTCGAACAGATATGCGGTGACTTGATATCACCGGTTGCTGTCAATAGTAGCGTACCACCGCTATTGTCATGATGATGATTTTCAACGTCAACAATCACATTCGCACTCTGCGAGTGATTCATGTGATAATGAGCATGTTTGATTGGATCAAACGGTGGCTGCTGATGCAGAATGCCGCTGCGTTGTTGGTACTGTTTTTGTAAGCTTTTTACCTCAAGCCGCGTTTTGTCACGTTGATAATAAACTCCCGCAAATATTAACACATTCAGGATAAGAAGACTACAACCGATTGCTATTGTAACGCTGAGTGCCGTTGAATATGCGGCATAGCCAGCCGCTGAATCAAAACCGGCTAATGTGTCGGCCGATGTTGTAACGTTAGTCACGCTCGTTGGTGCTAATGCACTATAATTGCCCAAAGGAATACAAGTTGTTAAAAGTGATGGCTCTACCGTTGTCATTCCTGATGTTTTTTTTGTTCGGTTCGTTCGTTTCGTTAAAGCCCAGGTTTTTACACGCGATTTTTGTTTTTTTTTGCATTTCATTTTTCATCATATTTTTTTTTCCACGTTGAGATGAAGTGTTTTTTGTAACCACGCAGCAAGCAGGTACATTCCGTGAATCAAACAAAAAAAGAAATGAGAGGAAGATAGAAAAAAATGTGTTAGTATCATTCATTTTTCATGGGAATTTTGTTTTTTTATTTATTTTTCTCTTCATTGTTTTTTTTTTTTCAAATTACAATAGTCCAAACTGTCACTTGTCCATGACACGTGAACTCGCATCCCATTTAGAAGTTCAACATAAAAGCTCATAGTTTCATTTTATTAGCTCCAACAATTGATACCCAGTGACACCAATTGTTACAAATAGATTCCATTCGAACTAGTTTGTAAATTTACAGCACAGAAGAGTGAGCGAATGACGAAAAAAAAAATCGTAGTAAAATAGAGTTAATTTTAATTCTCGTTTAACGATAGCATCTGTGTCTACGATTTATCGTCTTCTTTTTTTGCAATAAGCCCGTGCGCAACATGAATGCTTCTGTGTAAAAGCTTGGAAGTAATCATTAAAATTCATTTCACTTAAAGTGAAATCGACTTTTTTTGCTCAATGAAAATTTTGAGTCCCATTCATTTTAAACTCAGCTAAATCTCTCCTACCGCAAAAAAGTTCAACGCTTTTGTTTCTAGTCAAACCGATCTGCGATAAGCGATAAAAATGTAACGAAAAGTTGAAAACTAGTTCAAAGCGAGAGGGCAGTGGAACAGAAGAAAGGAAAAAATTGAGCAGCGAATACATCAACGGAAAAATCCGTCGGAATTTTTTTTACGCAAACAAAAGGGTTCCTGACAAAAACAATCTGATTTGATATATTTATTCATCTCGTGATTAACTTATAAGCGGAAATATGCTTAACATTAGATGTTCTCGTTTTTGTGTGTGTGTGTGTTTTAGCAACTGCACAATTTCCACCCGTTATTTTTTTCGTTCTCCATCAAACAAACCGTGTTTTTTTTGTTCGTTCATTCGTTCGTTTCGCTTCGCTGGCCGATGTGGTATGGTAATTTACAATGTTTTCTCTGTGGTTTTTTTTTTTCGTTCAAAACTTTTCAATGCTTTAATTACAATGAAGTTCGAGTTGGTTGTACAAACCCAAAGCTAAACTTGAACAAGAATTCGGATGTCGCTTGTTTTTTCTCGCCCTCTCTCTCTCTCTTTCTCTCTCTCTCTCGGTTTGGGATGTATGTGTATGTGTATGTGGATGTGCCAGTTTTTGGCTGTGAGTGTTTTTAACTATTGGTTGCATTAAAACATTTCGAATGACCAGGATTGTGTGTTTGCATGTGAGCAGTTTCGTGTTGTAAACGGTTTCGGTGGCGTATAGTGAGGCTGAGAGAGAGAGAGAGAGAGAGAGAAAGAGCGGACGAAAACCCTAACAACATAACGACGAACTAGCAGTTCAAAAAACATTCTCCACTCCCGGATATGCGGTTTACAATCAACGAACTTCTATGCACATTCAGTGTTGAAAATGCACACAAAAGAGCACATTGTACGACCCGCTATTGTTTGATAAAGCTGACAAAAATAGGAAGCGATTTCGGTTTTTCGGCGATGCCGGGTGGTGCGATGCGCGGAGACCGGAGAGCAGACGAGACAAACTCAATACTGGAAATTGTGTGTATTAAGTGAAAAATGAAGCGACTCTGCTCTCTCTCTCTATATCTCTTTTTCACATCGAAGTGGCCGGCCGTTGTTGTAGCAGCAACCCGATGATTCACTAAATGCTTGTACAAGAGAGTGTTGCATTGGCCAGTGTTCGTCGGTAATGTTTTCCTCGTTGTAATCGGTTGTTGTTAAACTTGAATTATATAACACATCATTATTATGGAAAGTATGTTCTGGCATGGACAACGGCAAGCACAACATACAATGTACTATGAAAGGGCCATCATATTGCCAGGCGTTTGTGTTGACTCGACACGACTCAACTCAACTCAACTCAATTCCATTACGATTTCACATGAACGACTTAATAAAATTCACTGCTGGCGCTGATCATCGAACGACAACGACGATAACGATGGCGATGGCGACCGTAACGAAGCCCACATTCTCATTAGATGTTGATGAAAGCCGGATATGATGAAAATGATAAATATCTGCACTAACTAAATTTGGTCGTTTGCATTTTCTAAGCGTTGAAGACAATTGGATTTGCTGGTGTTTGTGCTGGCCATGTGTGTATGCATGTGTCGATTTGCTTATATGCGCCAGATTTGTAGTAAATGCACGCGTACAACAATCTCATTTCCATGTGAAAGAAATACTTTGTATAAAAGTATTCTGTATCGCTACACACAACTGAATGGAATGCAAAAATAGTGGAATATGCATTGGCTGAATATTCAATTCATTTCAAAAGTCGGAATCGGTTGTATTCAATTGAGCTGACGAGTTTTCTGTGAAATTAAGAGGAATGCTGTCAACGCACATTTCGCATCGTATTCAACCAGCCACATAATTACAATAGTTGATAGGTATGATGCTGCTGCATATGATGGCACGTCTCTTATGCCAATGCAATGTAGACCAAGATCAGTTTCACATCAGTACAAAAACAATGATAAGCCAAAAATGGAGAAAAAAAACGAATTGACGAAACATAAATGAAGTAATGAAATTTGTTGGTCAGGCACGGTGCATAAACACAAAAGACTTTGTTTGTTTTGGACTTGATTCGGTGATAACTTTTTTGGGATTGTTGTTATTTACTATTTGTTTGTGTCGGTTAGTTTGAACAATAACCCACCTTGGTATGCCTTGGCTAGAAGAGGCGGACAACAACAAATGGATTATGTTAGCACTATTCCGTAAACTACACCGATATTGTGGTCATAATAAATGCAATGCACGTACCCACAAATGTATACCAGTGCCATAGTGTGTAAACGACAAACACGAAAAACACCAACAAGAAGAAAAACCCTTCGCTGGACCGAATGTAAAATGTGCTAAAAACAGCGCAATGCAAACCGGAACTATCATTTCACATTAGTTTTACAATAATTTTCTCTCTCTTTCTTTCTCGCACTGACACACACACACTCTGTGTCTCTCACTCTCACTCGAATACCTCATCGCTGTGTTCGGGTAGGATGTCGTTTTAGTTTCTATCGTTTACAATATTTTGTTGCTGTTTTGTCTCGCTGTTTATAGTATACGAAGCGAGCAGAATGACGGTGATTGTCGTCGTAGTCATTTCGAAACAATAATAAAGAAAGCTCAAACGGAAAACGATGCGAAATAAAGGGAAATAAAAAAGAAACAAAAATGGGCGGAATGTTTGTTTGCTGCATGACGATGACGACAACGACGATATTATAGCGAAAAACTTTTGCTACACGTACTCGGACATTCCAAAAATAATGATGATCATAATAACAATAACAATATCTAGTAAATTACAAAGGCTATATTCGACTGCGGATACTGCACGAGAAACTTTTCCAAATATTTATGGCATACAAGTCTTCGTCGACGCTATTTATATTTCAATTTTTTTATTTTCATCTCAAATAAATGGGCCGGTTTGCAGAAGCGAGCCAAGCAGGAGTGAAGGAGAGCCACAAAGAGTTGGAATGGTTTCGAGAGAGAGAGAGACACAGATATGCGGAAAAAGGAAGATGAATAAAGCAAATAAAGCTCGATATGTGAACGTTTGTTGCGTTGCCTGTCCATGTTTGTATCGTTGTTTTACAACTTAGTCTATTGTCTATATTTATGTTTAGTAAATATAACGCGCTCATCGTCAAATGGACACAACTAACGACCAAACACTGAAATTCATCCCACCGCCTCTCTTTCTATACTTTGCTTGCTTGCTCGCTCACTCGCTCGTTCGCTTCACCCTGTCACCAGCATTTGATCGAGTCGAAATACGACAAACACTTTTTCTATGGGAAATCGCATTGTTATTGCATGTTATTTGATCGTTGTCGTCGTGTACCGAGTCTGTGCACTGTTGTTAGTCGTCATCAGTTTTTAGCTGCTTCCATTTTACTTATGTCAGATAAAAACATGGACATTTATATAAACTATTGGCACTATTCGCATGAACCGTGACGTGTTTGATAGGAAGTAAGCGAGACTGACAGCAACACGATGGAAATTGAAGCAGAAAGAAAATCGAATAAAGGCGGATAATCAAGCAAAGTCAAACAAAAGGTCTGAGCTCTCTCTCTCTCTCTCCTGTTCTACGTACATAAATGTCAGAGACAAGCAACAAGACGAAGCCCGAATAAACTTGGAACAGATCGCGTTTGTTTCTCAATCGTATACGATGCTATCGAGCTGCTACGAAACGTGCATGACCTAGTCTCTGTATGAGAAGTTTGGACGTGCCTGAAGAAAGCACAATCAATGCGAACAACCAACATACTTACCATTAATATTTAATAGGCTATATTCGTTATTGGTGCCATTATTTCGACGCTGCTTGAATGTCTCCTCTAAAAATGCTAAACGTGACAGTGAATCCAATTTAACTGGACCATCATATAAATCCATGTCATCATGGTTTTTAAATAGATTATGCCGTGTGATAACATCTTCCATGCCGGTTCGATGCAGTTCGGGTATTAAGCGCAACCAAATTGATAGTTGATGGGCGCGAAAATGATTTTTTATGCGAGGTTTCATGCCTAATGGCATCGCCAGTGTACCAGTTCGTTTTTGTTTTTTATTGAGTCGATTTTCAATGTTTTTTTTTATTTCATATGAAATACCCGTTCACACGCATCCAATGTTGTAGATGTTAGTCATGATAAAAGAAAAGAACGAATGAAAGCGACAAAGAGAATAATAGTATTAATAAAATGAATAATTTATATTTCGTGATGGATTCGAAATTGATAGAAAAATGGTAATAGTTTGCTTTTTTACCGATTTCCAAATATTTTTGATGCAACGAATCATATTCGTCCCAAACCACGCTACGGAAGCGATTTCGCTCTTTCGATGCAGGCAATACCGGATCTTGCCGATGATGTTCGTTCGGATTACCTGTTTTGTATTGAAATTTTTTAGAGATTGAAAGCTTTGCTTGATAAAAATAAAATCAATTTTGATGATTATTTTCCCAAAAAGATATGAAATTTAAATCGATATTCACTCAAAAATAAAGTTAATGGACTTTTTTATGTGGAATTTTAAACAGATCCATTCATTTGAAAACAGCTTTTAGTGGCTAATTTTCTTTACCAGTTCTTAGGAAGTTGCTCCAATAAGTCATAATTGCTTCAGATAGGCTGATTTCCGACTGAAATTATACACAAAATTCACAATTATTTGTTTGAATTGACATTTTACTCCCGTTTTTTCCTACTATTTTCAACATTGTTCAAATCATTTTGACAAACCTTTGTGTAATTCCTTGGGAAATGTGAAAATCCTTCAACCAACGGTGCTGTGTTTAAAAGAAAAAAGAAAAAAAAGTGTTTGAGAAAAATGTATGGAAAAACACTTGTAATGCGTAAATAGATTGTTTGGTTGCCTAGAATTCTCTTGTTTTTCAAATAGAAAATTTCTCTTCAGAACTTTTCCACAGTTTGTAATAAGAAACAAATTATGTTCGCTGTAATGTGGGGTCATAATTTCGATTACTCTTCCTACTTATCTACACAATCCATGAATTGCATCGTTTTTAATATGAAAAAGAAGAAGTTTAAATCCATTTTAAATATAATAAAAACACATACCACCAAACACATACGGTAAATCTTCTCCATGTACCGTTCCCATGCGCTGTGGATAGTCGCCGTCTTTTGTTTGATAATCGAATACATAGAAGAAGCATTTTGGTCCAATTTTATCTTGGCCCGGTTGTACAGCAGGTGGAGCCAACATATCACCGGTGTGAACAAGCGGAGCGACAAATTGCGCGTCTGACAATGCGGCAACGGCTGCGTCACGCGTATTTATTGGATGCTGTGACGTTCGCTCCCAGTCTAAAAATCAATTTCAAATACAATTATATTCAATTTCATCCAAGCACTTCAATGTTGTCTTTGGATCATCACTCACCTGTATACTCATTCACAATCTATATAAATGGAGGAGGCGAGAAAATGTGCGATTAATCAATGGATTCGAATTTAGAAATTAGATTAAATTTCAGCTTACCGTGTAGAATATCTCACTCAAATGATATGTATACGCATTGCGTACATATGTTCGTAGAATTTTGTCTCGACGATCGCCTTCGAAACCGTTTTGTATGTCAGACGCACTGAAACGCCATATGGCTTCACCTGTTACAATGCCAAACATTAAATCATACCGATTGCCAGATTCTTGCGACCGTTTTGAATTTCTCATCATTCCATCGTCGGAATCTTGATGATTAAGTCCGTTTCGAATAACAACTCCGTCAACCTACGAACGCAAAGCACACGTCATTATAATCTCAATTGTAAATAAGTGGTTTTTTCAATTTACCGATGGACCGAATGCAGTTAGAAAGCTGGGCGCTTGAATTTCGGTTGCATATAATTCGTCTAATGGCACCTCTCGCAAACAGTCAACAATCTGTTCATGGTTTTTGATTAGGTCTTCGGGAATGGTACAGTTTACTTCTTTGGCTAGTTTGAGTGCGTAAATCACTGGGTCTTCGACTAATGCCCATGATGAAAATGCCGAACCCGACAGTAAAATCGCTCGATGGAATAAGCCCGGCACCATTGTTGGTGACGTCATGAGAAAATGTATGCATGCCGCACCGCTGCCATGCCCAGCTGAAAATTGATTTGCAAATTTTTGTTCGTGTATATGTGTGTGTTCATTCACAGTAGATAGAAGAAAAAAAAAATAGAGACAAAAGTGGAAAATCGTCAAGATGGATGGTGTATTTACCTAACGTTACCAAATTTGGATCACCACCAAATCGATTAATATTCTGTTGAACCCAATGCAGTGCTGCCATTTGATCCATTAGGCCATAGTTCGCGACACGGGCACGTATCTGTGGGCTTGGATTCGCATTGAGAAAACCTATTGAGGGAAAAAACAACGCATTTTTCGTGAATTGTAATTGAAATTGTCGTCGGATTTGGCCGCTGTGAACAAAAAAAAAACAACAGCAAATGGGAAAAGAATATCGTGCGCTGGCAACGGCCACCGTTTTTCGAGAGCATATTGAATAGCATACCTAATATTCCTAATCGATAATTTAATGTGACAACAACTATTTCGCCGTAGCTTGCCAAAACTGTTCCATCGTACGGATTACCGCTGTTCCATTCGAATGATTCACCATGTAGAAACACCAGCACGGGCAACTTTTTATCAGTTACAGCAGCTGCAATGAAAAATATATATACGTATAGTAAGTATGAATATAAGTTTCAAGTTAAATAAATCAAACATCAATAGCGACATAAATTTTCCCCTTTTCTCTGAGTTTCTTAAATCATTCGTTTTCATTTGAAATGCTCATTTCCATTTCTCTTGTTCAATTCTTCTTTCTTTCTTTCAACCGGGGTCGTTCCTTTCTTTCGTCGAGATTTTATTTTCGATCGCAAATTGAATTTGCTTCCAACCCTCCGTCGTGAGTTTTACTTCTGACGTGCAAATCGGAATGAGAGTGATTGCAAACATCTGTAAACGACACATCCATATAAAACATGACACAGGCAATAAACAGAGCATTTGAACTAGTTTATTGCATCAATGGCAAAGCGCACCATTCGAAAGATATATCGCATTTACTTTGTTACACCGCATAAAATGTCACCCATATTCCGTCGTCTGTATATTTAAATCTTTTTTTTCCATCATTGTCGCTGACATCATCTCATGTCATCGCTTCACATTCGACAATCGCATCAAAAAGTCAAGTATCAGTTACAAATGTGAAAAATTTATGGCTGAAAATCGTTCGTGTTTTTAAGATCTATTTAGTGAATCGATGCTTGCTTGTTCACTAAATAAAATGGAATGAAATGAATGGAAACGGGGAACGATGGGAAAAAGAAGTGCATATCAAAACATTGTTAGATCTATGTGTGTGCTAGAAGTATACAAGTATAAAATATCGAGAATATATTGGGTCTGGGAATTAGTTTTGTCGATTTTTTTAAATTTTCAAACATTTATTTGAATACCAAAATGAAATTACATTTCAATCAAAATATTGTCCATCGGAAGCGATGACCTTCTGCCACAATGTGGGCAATTGACGGATGCCTGCCTTAAAAAATTCCTCATCTTTTGAGGCTATAAATGCATCGAGCCAATTTTGGATTTCTTCAACTGAAGAGAACCGCTCTCCGTCCATATGGTTTTGCATCGATCGAAACAAATGGTAGTCGGAAGGAGCCAGGTCTGGGCTATACGGGGCGTGAGCCAAAACTTCCCATCCGCTATTCTCCAAGTAGTTTTTGACCGATTTCTCAATGTGTGGCCGAGCATTGTCATGTAGGAAAATCAATGTCTCTTTTCTGGTCTCCCATTTCGTGCGTTTTTCTTTGATTGCTTGTTTCAAACGTATCAATTGTTGTCGGTAGAAAGGCCCATCGATGGTTTGACCACTTCTCAGCAGCTCATAATACACCACTCCCTCCTCATCCCACCAAATAGACAGCATTACCTTGTCGCCGTGAATTTCTTGTTTTGGCTGTGATGTTGCTGGTTGGTCGGGCTTAACATACGATGCTTTGCGCTTGGGGTTATCGTAATGAATCCATTTTTCGTCACCAGTGACAATTCGATACAGAAAACCTCTTTTTTTGTGACTTGCGAGCAGCATTTCGCAAGTCACTAAACGCCTTTCAGCTTGCGCTGGCGTCAATTCATGTGGTACCCAATTTGACAACTTGCGAATGAAACCAAGGGCCCTTAAACGATATCCAACAGTGCTTCGGTCAACATTCAATGCTCTGGCAAGCTCATCTTGAGTTTGACTCGAATCTTCATCGAGCAATGCCTCCAATTCCGCATCTTCAAACTTTTTTGGCTGGCCGGGACGTTCCTTGTCTTCCGTGCTAAAATCACCACTTTTGAACCGTGAAAACCACCGTTCACATGTACGTTCCGATGGAGCATGCTCACCATAGGCTTCCACCAACATTCGATGCGCTTCAGCCGCAGTTTTCTTCAAATGAAAGCAAAAAATTAATGCTTGCGGGAAATGTTGCTTTTTCGGTACAAAATTTGACATATTTAAGGCGCAAAAAAAAAATGTTTATCCAAACTTCGATGAAATGATAGATGATGATTTTTGTAGTTTGACACTAGACCACTCATGTGAAAAAGAAAAAAGTATTGCCCGATACAACCATGCAAAGTTACGCCATCTTTTGAAAAATCGACACGATTAATTCCCAGACCCAATACAACAATGCGTCAAGTGAAACAAAAGCATTCGTATTAGATTTCGTGATCGATGCGACAACAGACTGATGATTTGAATGTGTCTTTTATTTGTCTTCTTTCGACGTGAACATCTATTTTATGCACGTCGGAAGCATTTTGTCTGCATTTCTGCTGAAAACAAATGAAACACTACAAAAATCAACAACTTACTCTTTCTCTTCGGGTAGCGCTTTTCGAAAGGGGAAAATCTTCAGAAATGAATATCGTCGATAGGATTCGGGAGAAGGGTGTTTGTTAAACAAACCCGTTGAGATTTGAAAAATAAAAACTCGACAGAAAGTCTCTTGTATTGGGAATCCTTTGAGAAATGTTCATAAAAAGTCTACCGCACACACAAACAGACATAAACAGTGACATTCAATTTTCAATGGAAATCATTTCGACATAAACTATGCTCCGAGCAGCGCTTTTGTTTGTTTGCCATTTTACAGTGGCAAGCCATAGAAATAGAGACAGTTCTTATATTGACAGAAATATTCCTTTGATAACATTTTCAACGCAGTTTCTGTAAAAAACATGTTATTTAATATTGATGAATGGTAACATCTATTTCACAAATGTAATTGCATGTGCTATAAAGTTACAAACACTCCTGACACATAAATATTCTGCGAATGAATGAGAAGAAGCATCACTTACTGTTACCGATATGCTTCATGACAACTAAGAAGTTTCCATTTTAATACATTTTTCAATTCATTTTGATCGATTTTGATGCATTCAGCATCAGTATCATACTGATATTTTCATCATCGATGATATTTTCGAGTATCGAATGGAATGAATTCTGATTTACACGAACTCGCATCTTTATGATGCACTCAACGCATACATTTGCACGTACGTATGTATTCACCATTGTTTGTAATGTCACTTTCGTCTGCTTCATTGATCACATGTAAAATACAAGTATATTTTCGATGAGAGTCACTTTATTGGCGTTGCCAATAATCTTCATAACTCAGTATAATATTCGATAAAATGTCAAAACAACTCGTTGAATACATATCATGTTGAATGGTTAGAAAAAACCAAGAGAAAACTCTACTTCTTCTTCTTTTTCTTCTTCTTTTTCGTTGTTGCTTCTGGTTTATGTGGAAAATTTCGGTTTTACCATTTGATTTTAATCAGGTAGCGAGTCTGTCGTGCGTGCAGTATTTCAACTCATCTCAATGGGGTTTTGTCAGTGTGTAGAAAATATTTAAAATGCTCGAACCGATCTCAAATTGCATGACACATTCGACATTTTCCATTGAGCACATTCAAAATTAGATACAACGATTGCTCATAAAAAATTCTCGGCAGACAAATAAATCGATGTCGTGCGTTCGACGACTCGCACCCAACACACATTCTCAGATTGTGCATTTTAAAAATGTTTCAATGGAAAATGGGTGTGTGTGTGTGTATGAAAAAGTTATTCAATGCCGATGGCTTTCTATGCCACCTTCACAGAATTTTTTATTCGAACGGTGTTGGAATAAATTTGTGTGAATCGATACAATTTTCCGATTTGAGACGAAGATAGAAAACGTTACAATTTGGCATGTTCACCTAATATATGATCGATTGATACATATCCGAATCGCAATCAACATTTTATTTGGTGTGCCGATGTTTATTCACCTCGATTCGATATAGTATAAGCACTTGTGTGCCGCATATTCTCGATGGTTCGTTTAGAAAAAGACAATGTTATTGTTTATAAATGTTTCCCCTTTAGCAGACGAATGGTGGCAAAAACCAGCATATAAATCACAAAATTGTCGCCTATTAAACAGTATATTCAGGCTAGCGAAATAATATGCACGGGTGCAAAAATGTTGAACGGCCATAAATGAAAATATGCGATGGAAAAACCTTCGAATGAATGAAGTGTGGAGCGTTTAGCGGTAAATCATGGCACGAGAGAGTGAGAAAGGAAAACGTGTCCAATAGATAAAACAAGTTTTTGTTTGGTTAACTGTTGATCGGTTTAAGGCATTGTTTGCCTTGGGCGCAAAAAGCTTTTGGGAATTTTGCACAGTTCGTCCATGTTTATGTATTAGTCGGTCTACTTTTGGTGTGTATTTTTGTGACGAAACGAAGCGAAACGCTCGAAAGGGTGAGAGATGCTCGCCAACAATCCATTTAATCCAACTCAGCCAATGATTTTGATTTTCATGCAGCGATTTCTAAACGAATAATTTCCTACGTTCGATGTACAATTTTTGTTTTGTTTCGTTCGTTGTTGGTTGAATTGGTTTTTTTTCTCCCTTCTCTCCATTGTTATCTGCATTCAACGGAATCGAGTGTTATGTTCACAATTTTTAAGTAGTTTTATTTGTTGCACGAACATATTTTGTATGTCAACAACTTTGAATGATTTATTTATAGGCCATATTTCAAGAGTCGTTGACACATTGTGTGTGTGCATATGCGAACAAAAAGAAAAGGTAACTGTTTTTTGTTGCCTTAGGCTGAAACTCTGCACTCAAAACTACGCTGCTACGTTACACATATATGAATATGTTTTTTCTTTCGTCAATCGATGTAGCAAAATGATAGGGAAAAAAAGTTTGCCCACTACACAAATACTCATACCATGTGCCGGCGAAAATACGTTTAGGTAGAGACAATCCTCCGACTGATTTTGCAAAAATGGCAGCAATCGTTTTAGGTATTCCAGTCGGCCCTTTGGCATTTTCTCCAATGCTCCGGTTTCATTTTGTATGTTGGGCAATCGTTGCGGACACACCGGACTAAACTTATCGGCTATGCGGATTCCATTCCAGGGTGATGGTGCTCGAGTTGGGCTGAATCTGAAAGAATATACACAGAAAAAAAATGCAAAATACATTAAATTGAGTTTTTCACAACAATCACATCAAAATGGAAATTCAATTGCAATATCTAGCCTAAAGTGTTGTATGGATTACAACAGCAGCAATTCACATTGAGAGGAAATGGTACGCTCTTGGGCCATACATTTCTATTATGCTGAAGAAAACTTTATTGCACATACATACGCATAAATATGTATATCGCGAAATCTACATTTTTCTGGCTTACTGCAGTGATAAATTACGATGAAAGTGGAATAGAAGAAGGAAAGAAAAATTGCCAAACATTTCTTGTCGAATGCATCGTTCTGTACAAAAAGAAATTTATATTCTTATTTGGCGAGTCGAATGACAGAAGAAGCAAAAGTGTGAGATTGAACGAAAAAAAATACGATCCCCAAACTGCATAGCAGTTTTCTCGGAACACCCATTCTTTGAAGGTGCATCATGTAACGCACATAAAAGTTGCGTTGACTAACTGAATCTTGGGCGAAGGAAAAAAAATCCGGAATAAAAATTAAAGTTTTCTTTTCTTACTGTTCCTTATTTCTCAATTGCTTAGTTCAGCCAAAGTGTGAAACTGTGAATCAAGGGGGGGAGGGATTCGGGTGGTAAACTACGCAGGAGTAAAAAGTTACCATGGTGTAAAAGCTCCATTTAGACACTTTTTCATGTGCATTCATTTTTTCTCCTTCGATACATTAATGTTTTATTCAAGTTCTCTTCTTTTTCTTGTTGTCGGTTCGTTTCGGTTGCATCAACTTTTATATAGTTTCCGTTACGCTTGGATCTTGGGAAAAAATCACGAGATAAGTTTGTGAATTACATTTTGTAAATCAAAACCGCACAGCTGCATGAACAAGTGGAAATAATATGATATAAAAATGGTACTGAAATTCTATCGTGCATTCCTTCACCACCCACCGCATACAAAAGTGTTGTACACCGTGTATAAAGTTGAACCAAATTTCAATTTAATTTTGAGAAGCACATTTGCTTGTAAATCGTTTGTATTCTCATGACTTTTTTTTCTCTCTATACATTCGTTTCATCCTCTGCACTCGTTTTTTGTTTACCCACGAGACAATTTACTGATCTCATTTTTGTTTGCTTGTTTCCCTCCACTTCACGATTTCTGGAGGTGCTAACATGGTTACAATCGTTTGTATACGCTGTGAAGATTTGCATGTTTTTGCTCGATTTTGATTTGCACTCGGTGCAATCAAAAAATATGAAATGTACAGATGGAAATGACGGTTCGTTATGTCTTTTTTGCTGCTGAAAAACCGAAACATTAGTTAGACAGCTTTGAAGAGAGAGAGAGAGAGAGAGAGAGAGAGAGAGAGAGAGAGAGAGAGATGTCTTCAGGGCGGATGTGAAGATGAAGTGGTGCTCAAGACGAAACGATGACGTGCTAATGAAAGGCGTTAAGATCGTTTTGCCAACTGGCACTCTCACCAAAAAGAAACATTTCCATTACATTTTTGGCGATATCAAAATTTTCGTTAAAGTTCAGCGCATGTTTTCACTTGTATTTCTTTTTTGGTCGTATTAAATTCGAATATTCTTGCAAGTTCACTACAACATCTTCATCTATCCTGGGTATCGTTTATCCGGTGAACTCAATTCCATCGAGTGAAATAAGACTATTTATTAAATCACATTTTTGGATAGGTGAGCTCTACATTGTGTTTCGAATTGGAAACTTGTGATGAAGAAATTTCACTTGTTCATCCGGGAGAAGCATGACAACGTTGAAATGAGTTCAAAATATTAATGAAGTATTCAACGTTCAGTCGTAAATTATGAAATGCAGAGCTGCGCTTACTTGCACGTTTCTCGCTGTGTCATTCCACCACCGTTGAATGAAAACATAAAGTTCGCTCAATAGCAGCGGTATCAAATAGCATTCGGTTGTAATTTTCAAAATGAATGCCCACGAAACGTCGATCGATATATCTATAGCGAGGAAGCCAAGTGAAATAACTTCGAAAGAAAACTACTCGATCGAAGACAAAATGAGAAGCACTTTACATTCAATTTCAAATTGTACTTTTTATCACATTGGTTCGCTGCGTTTTTTTCTCTTCTTCTTTTTCGTATTTCGAGCTTTTCTACTCTGGCAATGGCGAGAACAGAGCTGCTGCAGTACTTGAATTCGATACTTTTATTGGAAATTTTCATCGCCAATATTTCGATTGAAAAAACGTGTACTTCCACAGTACTATATATATCACTTGAATTGCGAAATGCAAACGAAATTCGAATAGTTTGTTTTTTTTCGCTCTCTGTCGATTACAAAGTCGGTGGAAAAATGTTGTATTTCTATATGCATAGTGAGTATTCATGCTGACGATGAGACCAGACTCCGCAACATATTTCGGCCCAGTTGGAATGGTGTGTAACCGTGAATGTTGATCAAGCAGGAGAAGCTGTGGGTGAGTCGGTTAAAGTGGCGTGCTGATGAAATGTCAGTAATGAAAATGTTGAGGTAAGTATCGCTATTTAGAATATATTTGCGGAAAATCCGACAACTAAACTCTTCAAATCACCCTATTTTTGGCGCAGCTAAAACATTCATTTGCAATGCCACTCAATTGTTTTGGTGTTATTTGTATTGCGGTTGTTTTTACCACCATCTCGAGCACTTAGTCGGGCACTGTTCTTTTTTTCCTATTTGGAAGGAAGCCATAGTTTTCATTCGGTGCGATGCTCGTTTGTCTGCTCTGGCTGGCAATATTTTCCTCGCTTTACGAATTTCTTCTCTAGTTTCTATTCGTTCGTTTTTTTTCCTCGTCTCTTATTCGGTTGCACTCATCGTATATTTCGCACACCAACATTTTGAATATCTCCCATGCTAACTGAATCAACATCTTTAGTTGCACACTCGCTTTTTTGATGGTCGTTTGTTTCGTTTGCCATGTTTTATATTTTAAATTTGCATTTCTTGTTTGTTCGTATATGAACGTTTTGTATGAGCATTTAGTTTTCCGTTCCTATCAACAACTCAATAGCTCAACGATTTGCAAATTCATTCGCTCTATTCGTTTTCCCACCACATTTCATTTCACTTTTCTTTTTTTTCTCGTACGCTTACAATTTGCTGCATTTTTATATTCCCTCTGTTTCTCATTCTCCCTCTCCTCCTCACTCTCTGCACTACATATTCACAACAATTTTGCATTGGTGGCGAGAGAAAGATGAAAAAAGGAGCCGAATTTCATTTCAGTTTGCATATTCTTTCGATGTGTGCAATTCACGAGCACTATTATCACGTACATGAATGAAATGTGAGTGGAAAAAATTTGCCGTTTGAATCGATTGAGATTTTGCGAAGTACCACGTCTCTATGAGTGGCAAAAATAAACACAAAATTGACGATCTAAAGCTGATGCTGCACAAATTGTTCACCATTTCATGTTTCTCATTGTGCACATTTACACAAAAAAAACCCGGTTCATCATCATTTTTTATAGTGCCGATAGCGCGAATCGGCCGAAACGGACATGAAAATCCGTCATGAAAACTTACTAACTGGCAAATATGTGCTACGAAATTCTTTCGATACACATTACATCGCGAATATTCAGCTCTCCTTTGGGATAAACATCCGAACAATTGCACATCCGAATTGTGATGTGTGTGCGATAGCTGTCGAATCGTTCCGCATTAGAGTGAATGTGTGTGGTGCACTTCTTATTCATGAGATCTATCGTGTATTTGATGATGAAGTGATGTTGAAAATTGAGCAAACGATATTCGCAAATACGCGATCGACGAAGTAGAAGTTAACAAGAAGTTCTCTTTTAAAAAGAGATAACGGAAAAGTTTTTTTTTCTGTTTATTTTGTCATATTTATTTTACCATGAAATTCGACAATCAGTCTTCTGTGTAATTTACATGATTATAATGGTAACGTTTTTATCGCATTTTCCCATTACATATTTAGGTTTCAATCGAGCATTATGTAAAGGCTTGAAACGCCTAGCCTTCAAACAGAGCGTATTTAAAGATTTTCAAATTTTCAAATTGTAATGTTTTCTATCTCTTACATTTTATTTAACATTGAATAAGTGATGACTCATTCTAAAAAAACCATTAGGTATCATCTAAAATATGCATTTCAATTGCTACATCAGCGTCTAATAGAATACACATAGTTATGCTGCATTGTTGTGCATATTTTTCTCCAGAGTACAATCGTCTTATCTTGGGTAGCTCATTATGAGATTAACTAATTTATATTTTCGAAGGAATAGCTGCGACTCGTATAATGGTGAAATATGTACACTTCAACATTACGTAATATTAAAAAATCATCGGCTGAGTGCATGTGGAATCTGATCCAAGAAAATTGTGCTTTAAATTCGAAGAAATTGGTTGTGTATGTATTTCCAAAATGTATCTATATTCAGTCAACAATTTTGACACAAAATACTCCCTGTTCAAAAGCGCTTTAAGCCAAATAATATCAAAAAAATTTCTGTACGGCTTGCAAAAAATATGTATCTGATATTTCAACATTGAAAAAACAAGACAATGAAAATAATGTTCAATATTTTGGATTAAAATTGCTTGCTGTGCAATGAAAGCGGAAAACATGCTGTAGTACAATCGAACACAATCGCTATGGGAAGCGTATTTTCATGATTTTTAACCCTCGAACCCTGTGCTCCACCATCGATTTTAAATGTTAAGCTTCATTCACTATATTCTCATTCGACAGCATGAAAATACATTGTTCAATAGAATGGGCTCGTACAAAGCTTCCTACGTATTTGGTTGAATGAAATATGTACTCGGCGGAGGAGTGTGGCGGAAATTTTATTAATATGATCAATGTGCAATGATTCACGAATGTGGATTATGTTTGAAAATCTGTCGAGTAGGAATGCAGATAAAAGCCAACAATATTTACAATCATATTCAACCATCAATTTCATTTTTATGTGTGAGACGAAAAGAAAAAACAAATATGG